CCTCCCCCTGATCATATAAACACTTTCTGGATTTCACTACCTTGTTAACAAGAACGACCAAGCAGCTTTAGAAATTCATAAACAGAATCTGAGAGAGATGGCACAAGGGAAAGTAAAGAAATATGCATCATGAATAAACTCTACCTCTTAAGTAGTTGCATTCAATGTCACAATATAGTTATGAAAGGGCATAGTTTGCACTGTGATGTCAGAATGAATATTTTGTCATCATCATGGCTAGCTGTGGATGGTGGTGGGTCTTCTTTCTTTAACCCTAGTTCCTGGTGATCAGAAATTCACTTTGTACCACAAAGTACAGTATAATTTTTTTAAAGCTCTAGCCAGTCAACCAGGCCCTGTCCACAGGATACTGCATTCCATTCCGTGCCCCTGGTTTTCTGTTTCTTTCCTCTCTCCCAATCTTGATATTAAAAATACAGTAGAGAACAAGCCTCATTAGATTTGGATAGCATATTAAAATAATTGTTCTACTGTACAATGGATACACTTATAAGAGCATGCAGCCTTTTCCAAACTGATATCCACTAGATATTTCAGGATACAATCCATCACTCCCCCTTAAAGACTGTGGATAGGGGTTGATAGGAGCTAGAATACATAAACTTCTAGAGGGTATCAAGCTGGAAAATGTAAAATCAAATTATAATCAGTGCTATCTTTTGATAGAATTAATCAAATTAGTCAAGAATTTTTCAGAGCAAGCCTAGACTATTTCATGTTATCTTACTTACATCAGTATCTCCCCTTACAATGACGGCTAAATTGTACCTTCTGAACATATTGGACTGCAATTACATATTTTCTGCTTAGCACAATTACTTGGTTAGAAATGATGGGAATTTTAGTTTAGAACTTTAATGTATAGGCAATAGCTTATTTGTCTGAAGGATGCTAGTATCATCTCACTATATGGAGAATATTCACATGAATTTGTAAACAATGGATTATTCTGAATAGGACTAGTAATCTCAAAATCAAGAGCTGTATTAGTATCACAGAATGGCAGGTGATCAGCCTTAAATGGTGTCATACTATTCAACAGCCAGAAATACTAGAAAACAGCTGAGTGAAGTATTCACATCCTGGTATCTCCACCCATTAGTAAGCATAGCAGAAATTATAGCTGATACATGAAGTGGAAAGACAAGAAATCAAACATAACAAATGAACTTGTGATAGATTTGTACTATAAATCCAGGAACAAAGTCTTCTGCCAATTCTGTAATAAATGTTTTTTTTTAAAAAAAAAAACTCATGTCAAAGCATGCTTCCTGATTTGTGCAATTCCTTATTCTTGGCACCATATACTACCCAGAGTCACTGGGACTCGGATGGTGCACAAATATAATAAATAAAATTTTACTTCCCCTTCCTACCTTCAACCCACCAGCTTTATTCTTATGTCAGTGTTGGCCCATGCAGTTTGGTAAGAGACGACTTTACTATAGTAATCATATCTTTAACAAAGATAATGGACAAAACCATGTCCAATAGCAACCAATAACTAGGGTAATAGATGGATATATTAAATATCCTGGCTAATTTGAAATGAAGGTTAAAATTATAGAATATTTCAAGGCTGTGCTCATGTCTGAGTAGAAACGATGCTTCTATGTAGGCACCTACATTTTGCTGTTTGTTTTTAAAGGCCATGTAAGAGGTAGCATACAATATTCTGAAGAATCACTGTAAGAATACATTTACATGTCATGGTTTACTAAATTGACTAGTTTTGACTTTCTGTGTTCTGCGAACCTAGTCATTGTGGTTCATAAAACAGTGTATTATGTGACTGCAAAACACATTATATGACTTAACGCAATGTCTACTCAGGCTAAACTGGGCAAGATAAATAATCTGGCATGGTACAAAGCAACTTCTTGTCTAATGGGAAATAAACTGGATTATATGATAGTAGGCAAATATTACTAGGTGAAATAACTGAGGAATGACAGAGTAATAGAATCCAAAGCAAGATGCTTATTAATATCACCAATGTCAAATATTATAGTTATGGTCATTAAATAAATGGTTTTTGAATAAACGCACAGCATGTGTCATGTGCAAGAATTTGTTCCATCTCAGCTATCTTGACAATTGGTTATCAGCCTTGCTTACATCACAGCCAAGAAAGAATATAGGTACTCATTTAATCAATTTGCCCTTCCTCCTTCTGTGTCACTGAGGCTCTGTAATGTAAATTTCCTTCTTCCTACTGATTATAACACTCTGGTTCACAACACAACAAGCAAGCAGGACAGGAAACAAAACATTCCACCAACTAATGGCCTCATTTGTTTGCAGTGTCATTAATCATGAAAACATACCTATCACAAGAACATCATTGTTAATTATTGGCTCCAAAGACTGTAGGTACCCCTGCTTCAATATTTTTAGCTAGAACTACCACCCAATATTTCAGAATTAACTCACTAGGCCCCTCCCATGCCAAATATAGCATTATGGTATGATGGAGGCCATCCTGCCTCTTATTTAAGAGCCTCAACCAGAATCACATATTCCACTTCAATGAGTAAACTATAACTTTGATCTTCTTTGCAAGAGACCCTTCCCAACTGCTATGATTTTTCAGTTTAATTATCGATAGGGAATGGTCAGTTATGGAATTCTTAAGTTTAGGCTTTTTTTTAAGAGAGAGAGAGAGAAATAACAATTATCCATAACAGATGTAAAGCAGGAATAATTTGGTAACCAACTGATGTTTTGGATTATAACATTTCCAGTTCCTGCCTTTGGCCATGTTAACTGTGGCTGAGGTGAGTTGAAGGGTACCAGGGTGCTAGAGAAAGAACTAAGCTGGAGGATGCTGGAAGTAGGTGAACTGAGAGCTTTAGCTGCCAATGGAAACCGGATGAAGGACAGAGAATGGCTAAAAAGGGTGTAATGCGTCATACGGAGGACTAGTGAAGCAGACCTTTCCAGCTTCTGAATTATAAGATCAATTCAGGCAGGAACTCACTGGATAGCCTTAGACAAATAATGCTGTCTTTTGTATTAGGGTAAAATACTGGCCTACTTTATAGGGCTGTAGAAAAATTATCATCATTGTATCTAAAGTGCTTGGACTATGTGGGAAGCACTAGCCCTATAATGAAAACTGATTTAATTAAAAAATAAGTTAGCCCTGACCTTTGACAATGCCAATTGAACCTTGATATTTTTTCTTTAATTATTTAAATAATGACATTTCAGTCTAATGAGCTGGCACAAGATTTCAAAGAGCTTGCACTGATTATGTGCAAAACTAGACGTTTTTCAATTCCTTCAGTTACATTTCTAACTAAATGTAGGTCTTAGTATCCAAACAGATGAAGAAACATAACAAGCATTTATCAACCATTTACATCCACTTGAATATTAAATTCACCATGTCATCACTCCTTTTACCTTGAATTTGGAGTTATCATTTTATCATAGTTATTTTTTTATGTAAAGTTCCCATCAGGAGAAGATATGAATCTGAGCCAGGTTACCTATTACTGATTATTGCTGACCATTGTTTTTATCTTGGATTGTTTTCTGTTGTAAGCCTCCCAGAGTCATTGTTCAAGTTGGGTGGCCATATAAATTCGTCAAATAAAAATAAATGGTCCTTGCTGAAATTATAATAAAGGATGGCAGAAGGGAATCAACGTGCATCACATTTATTTATAATGTATAAAAATTCAGTAAATACAGAAATCTTCAACTGATGATTCTGCAACATTCACACACAGTAGTTTCAATTAATTTTCAAAAGATATAGGAATGTACCATGAAAAGCAAGGTGAAAATAAAATGATTTTTTTTTAATTTAACTTAGAAAAAGACCAACTCCAGTTGACTCTGGGTGTCTAACAACATACTTCCATTCCTCAAGAATTGCCTTTGCTTCCAATCCATATAAGAACTCCTGAAGATTTCTGCTCTATTCAAACTGGGGTACTATTCCTTTCTTGCTTACATTAACAACAATTATGATACAAAGGAAAGTAAATGAAAGCATAAAAATCACCATATTTGACAGCCAACATGATGACTTCCCTACCCCTAAAATAAGTCAAACAAGTCCCAATTACAAGTTGGGAATCACAGGATTTCATCTTAAATTAGGAGATGAGGAATCTGTGAGCTTCTGGCTGCTGAACTACACCCCCCTGTACCACTGAATCCAGTTGAAGCTGCTGGGAGTTAACTCAGCAACAATCTAGAGCACTGGTCTCTGAAGTGCCATGTAAGACAATCTACTGGGGTGGAGGAAGAAAAAAAATAGAATGTTGACATCTGTTTATCATATCCTTTTTAAAATTGGAATGATTATGTACATATCAAGGCATATATAATTTATAAGCACACATAGGGGCTGCAGGATCAAAGAAAGTTCAGGGAGCTGACCTAGATGTCCACCAGCTGTCCTTTACTGCATTAAACCGATCTTTTATTATGACGTTTGAATTTCTCTTTCCATACAAAGCCCAATATCTCTGCACTGCTTCTATATATCACGCTAAGGATCCCCCCCTTCCTGGAAATGCGTTACAAAGTGATGCAGCAAATCAGTGCCTTAAGGTAGAAGTTTAATCTTTCAGTTCTTTCCCCCCATCTAAACTTCCAAGCTTTGAGGCTTGACTCTTTTTCAACAACCGCAAATTATTGACTAACAAGAGAAAAGGGAAGAGGTAAATTATTTCTTACAATGACCACACACACCGCACCTCCAACCACACAAGATTAAGGCGGCCCCTTAGGAGATATACGCCAAACAGAGAGCAGTAATTTGTGGGTAGTTATAGAATACGAGAGGAAAGTTGCGAGAACTGTTGATTGTGGCTGCGGGAACGGATTCAGAAAACGGGAGTTGAGTCTAATCTGCGCGCAACGTTAGCCTACTTTACTACGGCTGTTCCACCCAGGCCGAATCCTGCCCATCACGAAACGCAGCTCCCGCCAAGCTAACGAACCGATTCTCCCTCACTCACTTCTCTGGCTGATCGGATCTGCTTGCGCACCGCCTCTTTGCAAGGGTAGATGGTCTCTCCAAAGCTGGGCTGGAAGTACGTCTCCACGCGGGTCAGTCCTCGGAAAGAGCCCGTAACAAAGGACGGCCAGCCCAGCTCCAGTACGGGCGGCTCTACGTCGGACTGCACCGGGAAGTACGTAAGCGAGGAGCAGTCCAGCGAGGTGTTCAGGGCTTGGTCTGCAGCGGAGGCGCTTTCGTCTGCCCCGAGTGGCAGCACGGCGGCGCGCAGAATGGCCTGGATCTCGGGATCGGAAAGGAAGGAGCGCATCTTCTCCCGGCGCAAGAAAGCGTAAAAAGCCGGCCGGCCTCCGGCGATAAGGTCCTCCAGCGCCAGGCGCTGCGCCTCGTTATAGGCCGGGGCTGGGGTGGGATCCCAGCCGCGGAAACTCCTGAAAGAGACATCGTCCAGGCACTGGGACTGATTCGCCATGGACACAGCTTAGCCCTTGAGGAGACGCAGAGCTTGGGGAATACTCGGGCGCGTGGGAGGAGTTGGCATTTTATCGAGAATTTGAATCTAAACTGGCGTCCGCGCTTCTACTATAGGCTGGAATGGCTCTCGCCTCGCCTCTCGGGTGGGGAAGGCTCACTGATTGGCTGCATTTGGAGCGGTCGTTCCAATCCCGAGAGAAAGAGAGGAGGAGCTTGGTGATTTAAAAAGAAAAAAAAAGGCACCCCTCCGCGCTCTGGCCTTCAGCAGATACCTACGGTTGAGGCCTGGGGCTTGGGCGCGGTGGGGTAACCGCTGCGCTCTGCGATCAGGTAGGTAACGAAACAAGCTGCAGGCAGCCTGAACTGCTTCGTGCCAAAGGCTGTTGCTGAACGTCTTGCCTCCTCTTTGTCTCCAGAATTAAACTCAGCGCACGCGTTGGAGCGGCACCCATCGATTTCTAGGGCGGTCCTGAGCAGATTGGCCTCAACGGAATGAATCCCAAGGAGGACACAATAAGCCGCAAAATTAAAATGAATGACTCCTCGGGTTCTGGAGATATTCACCCAAAGAACAAAATGGCTAATGTTTTTGATAAAAATACGGAACTTCTTTTTATCATCAGCATCTGTTCTAAGGACTGGAAATTAACCCAGTTTTTAAAAGGGGATTGAGGGGCAGTAAAGGAAACCATAGACCAGTTGAACATTTGTTTGGGGAAATGATTGGAAGAATTACTAAAGAGAAAATAAATGTTACTGCAGAGGAACCAGCAGGGCTTGTATCAGTGTTTCTCAGCCTTTGCAACTTTAAGATATGTGGATGCTGGCTGGGGAATTCTGGGAGTTGCAGTCCACATATCTTAAAGATGCCAAGGTTGAGAAACACTGGCTTGTATACTTGGACTCCCAAGAAATCCTTGACAAACACCTTTACCAAAGGTACCAGGGCAAACTCTGGCAACTAATTAAAAAACAGGAAAGAGCAAGTAGAGATAAATGGACAGTGTGAAATGTGCAAAGTAGAGTCTCCCAAGGATCACTGTTGGAACCAATGCTTTTTATTGACATTTAAAATGTGCATGATCTGGAGTTAGGGCTGAACAGGAGGGTAGTCATGTATGTGGATGACACCAAACTGTTCAGGATGGTAAACTCAAAAAAGTTTGGGAAGAATTCCAAAGTGGGTGAATGGGTTTCAAAATGGCAAATGCAGTTAATTGTAAACACGTATAAAGTGATGCATGTCAGTACCAAACATCCAAACTCCACCTATGCATTAAGATCATCTGAGTTGGTAGCAGTAATGGATCAGAAAAGGGATTTTGGAGCAACATATATGAAAATGTCAGCTCAGAGTACACCTTAAGAAGGATATTATAGAGCTTGAAAATGTGCAAAAAGGCAGTCAAAATTACTGTTGTACAGGAGCAACTCCCCCAAAGGAAAGATTACAGTATAGTAATAGATGCTTTTTAGTTTGGAGTGCGAGTAAAGGGTGAAATGATAGAGGCATATAAAATCATGCATAACCCAGATGGCATGGATAGGGAGAAATTTTATCCTGAAAATGTTTTGAGGCCATCCATTGAAAATAAATGCAGGGAGATTCAGGACCAACAGAACAAAACATTTTTTTTCCTAAGTTGTGGAATTTGCTTCCAGGAGTTGTGGTAGTTATAGCCAACTTGGATGATTTTAAAAGGGGACTGGATAAATACCTGGAGGATCAACTATAAAGGTCTACTATCTGTTCACTGCAGGAGTTGTTTACTACTTTCTGAGTGCTGTAAAATGAGTTGGTGGGAAGTAATAGTAAAAAGGGACTATCTCCCTCCAGTCCAGGTGTGAGAGCTTCCTAAATACATCCAGGTGCCCACTGTGTGACACAGAATGCTGGAGTAGATAAACCTGGTTCTATTAGGCTCTTCACATGTCATTATGGAATTTGAATCATTCTCTTTCACAGAAGCTTACGAGTTGGAAAGCACCATTTAGACCAGTGTTTCTCAACCTTAGCAACTTTAAGATGTTGGGACTTCAACTCCCAGAATTCCCCAGCCAGCATGTTGAGTCTACAAGGTTGAGAAACGCTGCTCTAGAGTGTATGAACTGCATTTCCCAGGATTACAGATCTTAGGCTAGGCTTATTGAGAACTCTGGATGTTGCAGTTCCTATAGTTGAAGTTCAGACATCTTAAAGTTGCTACGGTTGAGAAACAGTGATTTAGATCATCAAATCCAATAGTCTGCTCCGTTCAGGAATCTAGTTTTAAATATATCCTATGGCTGTCAAGCCTCTGCTTGAACATACCCAGCAAAGGGAAACATACCATCTCTCTTAGTAATTGGTTCCATTGCCAAACTCTTTCTTAGTTTATTCTAACATTTAATGGGAATTTGTTATCCTGTAGCTTAAATGCATTATCCCATGTCCTGCATTCTAGAATGAGAAAGAACAGGTCTTGGCTTCCTGTGTGATAATCTTTTAGTTGTTTGAAGAGTGTTATCATATTCCTCTCAGTATTTAGGTCTCAAGCCTCAACATGCTGGGTTCCTTTAGACTTCCTAGGGCTTAGCTTTTACCTCCTCAATCTCTTCATTGCTCTTCTCTGAACCTGTTCCAATTTTTCTAAATAGCATGGTGCCCAGAACCAAAACAAACTCAAGGTAAGATCTTACCAATGCAGAATAAAGTGGAATCATTACTTCCACTGATTCACAAACAATAGTTACTGATGCATTCTAAAATTGCATTTCCTTTCTTTACAGTCTCATCACACTGTTAAGCCACCTTCAGTTTATAATCAGCTATTATTCCAAGATCTTTTTCATAAGCCTCATTGCCAAGCTAGCTATACCCTATTCTATACCTGTATGTTTGATGTTTCCTAAGTAAGAATTTTGCAGTTGGCTCTGTTAAATTTCATTCCATTATTTTCTCCAACCTATCAAGATGGTTTTGAATTTTATTTCAGTCTTCTAGGGAAATAGCTATCCCTCACTTTTTTTTTTTTGTATTTTTAAATTTGGTCCCTCCAATTCCTCATCCAAGCAATCAACAAAAGTAGTACAAGCACTGAAGAGTACAAACTTAGTACTTTGTGGTACCTTGCTCAGTGCCTCACTCTCATTTGATGTGGAATTGTTCATGAGTACTTTTTGATTCTTTGAGAAGGTTATGTATGTGCTTAATTGCTATGTCACATCCCAACTTTTGCTAATTAAAATAGTGTCAAGGACTATGAGAGCTGAAATTCAAAATATTTTGAGGGCACTCAATGAGAAATGTGTTCTTTTGAAAACAGACTTAATTTTGAGAATCTATATTTAGGACCGCATTTGTACTGTGACAACCCGCCAAAATGTTTCTTTCTTTTTTTTTAAGGCTCTACAATATTCTTTTCTCTCCAGGGTATTATTGTTGATGACAGCTAGCATCGTCTCTGGGTCTAGCCCTACACATATAGATGGCACTGTTCTGGGATAGGCTAAGATGCAGATTGTTATATTATTTAAATCCCAACCACTTATTGCAACTGAATCTTTGAACTGAGTACTAGGAATTAAATTTAAGTATATATCACAGTATTGTTTGGAAGTAGTTATACATGGTTACGTTTTCTGGCCTAAATAGGTAATTTTGCGGTGAAAATGAATAAATGAAATGCCATTAGTTCTGATTTATGTCCATGGTATTCAAAAGAGATCTGGACAGGAAGCCCTTACATAATCATCTTAAATCTACTAGAGTCAATCTAGTGAATCGGAGGATATAGCCTATGGTGATGTGAGATGAGGAGAATAACCTGAGACAAACAGTAGGAAGAGTATGACCCAGGGAGACCCAGCCCTAGCAAAGATGGTGATATGGCATCAGGACCCATTGCCCCTGGCCTTTGGCATTCAGACCTTGAACTGGAGGCTCATCTATCTAGCCCAAAGGAAGACCACCATTGCTATGTAAGGAGTCAGAAGCACAGAGATGCATGAATGCTTGGCTGTGCAGGGAACCATATGGTACAGGCAAGTCTATTCAAGAGCAACCTGGAGCTGGAAATAAGGATTGATCAATGCCATCTATGCTGAAGCAGTGGCTAAGGTTCCTGCATTTAAGGTCCCATCAGTCTAGCAATGGAGTTTTTTCTGTGACAACCCAACTTTAACCATATGCTCTGGTTTTAAATATGTTCCTGTTATCTAGCCATGAAGTTTGTCTTTAAAAAGTAACATTGCCTTGACTATTGTTACCAGTAGGAACTCTATTCTCTTTGAACTCAATACTGAATTTATGAAACCTTTTCTGCTGAACTTACAGACTTGTAATTGTCAGTTGACTCCAGCATGAGGGAACCCAGACAGGTGAGTGGAACTTGTTCTAGAAATCACTTTCCATTGATAAAGGAGGAAGATGCAAGCACAAAAGTCCTTGGCATTTTTTTTTTTATTGTGCTTTGATAGTGTCACTGGCCACTATAGGTTCTCAAAGGAACAGTTTGGTTACAGCAAGGGAGAGGAAGTAAATTGAGCAGTATATTTGTGGCTTTGCTCCTTGTTACAGCCTGGAAGCAAAGTCTAATCAAGAAGTGATGCAGATCTTGGCCTATTTCCTGTCTCTCCACCCACACCCGCCCCAAATCCCTGGAACATACAGTATGTAAAGCTGAGTGTGTATCCCATGCAGAAATGCTCAGATATGACATGGTGATGTCTTACTTTCCACTGGAATGGACAGGAGGAATATGGAACATTCCTGTAAGAAGTAAAGAGCTTGTGGTCCAGGCTATAGGATGTTTCACAGTAAAACAAGGTGGGAGCAGATCTGCATATGAACATTGTTGGACAACAGAGTGACAGTTTATCTTGTTTTAGGCTTCACTTTGCTAAATTACAGCCTTAAATAATGTGCTTTAGTGCTAAATATTAGCTAATTTGGCTTTGCCCTTGTCGTATGTTGCTATTTTCTATTGCTCTGTATTCCTCTGGTTGGTGCAGTGGTCTGTTGTGGGAGCATAC